CCGCATCTCGTGCTCCACTGATGACGCTCCCTGACACACTCCTAACATTCAAATGCAAATGTTTATTTTTAAATTCGACTAATATTCTTTTTTTTTTAACTCACAATCTCCTCATTACAGGCAGGCACTGCACTCAATTCAGCATGTGTTCGTGTTTGTGTGTGCTGTCTGTGTCACTCTTAGTACATGCCTATATCTTGCGCTATATCGAAAAATTTTATATCGTTATCGAAGAAGGTGTACCGTCGATAAATATCGATACCGTTTTATTGCCCAGGCCTAAGTGAAACGATTGGTCATTTTCTAAAAAAAAAAAAAAATGTATATATTTTTTTAACTACAAATGTTCATCTTGCACTAGCTCAACTTCACGCATTACGTAATCACTTTGCTGGAAGTACCGACCCAGTGTTTACAAAGCAAACGTGCAAAGTCAAATGCCCTTTACAAAAAAAAAAAAAAGGTAAAACATAGATGTAAGACGATTTTAAAGTTGGAGGAGAAAATGAGATGGAGTTTTTCGCCCTACCCTATACCTTTTTGAACTGGAGTACACGGACAAAGAGCTAACTGCGCGTGACCTTTCCAACGCGCATCATGGAGCTATAGTGCAAGACGAGCATTTGCGGTTAAAAAGTACATACATTTACATTTAAGAAAATGAGACCCCTATTGCTCGGCTGGGATTGTGTAGAGCCCTTTGAAGCTGCAATTTGGACCTTCAACCCGTTGGTCATCATTTAAGTTTATTATATGGATAAAAATCCCCAAGAGGGTCTAGCTGCTGCCTCGCACTTGCACTCTCAGACTTGCATTCTCAGACTTGCACTCTCAGACACTTGTGCTTCCGCTAGCGACGTCACTTGCAGTCTTTTATTTTGTTCTATTTATTGATTACTTTTTGTTTGAATCGCTCAACATTTTACAACAGTAGCCAGGTGGTGAAGACAAGAAAAAAGAAACTAAATTACAATGCCACTTGCACTCTCCGATACCCGCGACGTCACTTGCAATCGACACAAATGGTGCGTGTTGCCAATGGAGACAAGACGCTGTGGTGATTAAATGATTCAAACTAATTTAGTACTATAACATACAGGGGCCTGCAAGAAAAAGACAAGACCCGCAAATCCGTCGCCACAGAACAGCAGAATATGAACGCAATGCACAAAGTCTCTCGTTAAGCGTTTTCCTCCTGTAGAAAAACATAAACACTTAGCATGGCATAATTTATTAAGATACATTAAGTTCAATTAAAAGATCAAATTCGATATATAGTTATTATTTAATGTACTACAAGGCAAACAGATGGCTATGAACACAATGCGCAAACTTTCACTTGTCCTCGCATACAGCAAAACGCTTAATGTTGTATAATAACGGACTATGATAAAGACAATACAGTAGCCGATATGTCTTGTTGTTGACTCAACGTATATAGAGAACAGCAATTATGAACGTGCATTTTCAAATGCATTAAGTGATTTTAAAAGGATCAACTCCGTACAGGCAAGCAGACGAGCCCAGAATGCAATGCGTTAAATTGCACATTAAACATTTTCCTCCTATAGAAAATCATTATAAATAAAACACGTAATGTAGCTTAATGGACAAAGACAATGATATAAAAGAGCTGTAGACAGTTTATTCTATATGGAAAAAACACTTAACACGAAACTGTGCGTGTTGCATTTATTCTGGGCTCACCTGCTTGCCTGTACATATTAGTTATGTATATTAATAATGTAGAGGAGCATACTGAGTTTGGCCTTTTTATGCAACATCATGCCACGTTTTGCGGTATGGGAGGAAAATACTATATACATATTCATTATATTAATAAATTGTATATTTAATTAAATATTTTAATAGCATCTTAATACATTACGCCATGTTAAGTGTTTATGTTTTTCTACAGGAGGAAAACGCTTAACGAGAGACTTTGTGCATTGCATTCATATTCTGCAGTTCTGTGGCGACGGATTTATGGGGCTTGTCTTTTTCTTGCAGGACCCTGTATGTTACAGTACTAAATTAGTTTTAATCGTTTAATCACCACAGCTTCTTGTCTCCATTGGCAACACGCACTATTTGTGTCAATTGCAAGTGACGTCGCCGGTAGAGGAGAGTGCAAGTGGCGATTGCAAGTGGCATTGTAATTTAGTTTCTTTTTTCTCGTCTTCACCACCTGGCTACTGTTGTAAGATATTGAAAAACTCAAACAAAAAGTAATAAAAAAATTGAACAAAATAAAAAATAAAGCCTGCAAGTGACGTCGCTAGTGGAAGCGCAAGTGTCTGAGAATGCAAGTCTGAGAGTGCAAGTGCGAGGCTGCAGCCAGACCCTTCTCAAAAATCCTGGAATGTTCTCCTCAAAAATTGTATTTGCGACTGAAGGCAGAAGGGGTGAGTAAATTATCAGGAAATTGCTTTTCTGGAAGTGAACTAATCCTTTAACAAAACACCTGCTGGTTATTTAACTTTTCGCAGTATATCTCATCAACTAACAAAACATCTTTGATGCACATTGGCTTTGACGGCTTTGTTTTTAGTTGTGCCTCACATCAAAACTGCAGTGGCCTTTGACTGATCATTTCTTCTGCCTGCAGGTACACACAAAAGATACGTTCTCTCTTAAAGTTTTATTCTGCACATCATAAATAATACAGCAGGACAGCTCTGATATCCTGACATAGCTTATACATCTTCATAAGACCTTAAAACAAGATATTCCTTACAGGGGAAAAAAATATGAAAATAGTACAACATATTTGAAGTCAGATCAGGGCTCAACAGAATTTGTTTCTACTGTCCCAGTTGGGACTGGTTGGGCAATCTGCACTTGCCAGGTTTTCATTTGGCAGGAAAATCTATTCTATTCTATTGTTTTTTTCTACATTATTTATATTATTTTTTCTTATATATTTTTTTTCATGTTCTCATATAAATCTTACAAAGACAATTTTTTTGTTAAATGTTAGATTTTCATCATAAATAATTACTAGTTTTAATCTGCAAAGACTTACATTTTATTTTTTATTCTATATTTATTAAAAATTCTTCTATTTTTTTCTTTCCTTTTGTAAGGAGAATTTTTTTGTTACATTTTGTCACAATAATACCAGATTTTAATTTGCAATAATCAATTATTTTTATTCTATATTTATAAAAAAAAATTATTTTCATAAGAATCTTAGCGAGATAAATGTGTTTATTAAATGTTACATTTTTGTAACAAAAAATTACATTTTAATTTGAAATAATTAATTTTATTCCATATTTATCATTTTTATTGTATTTTTTCCTTTCCATTAGACTCTTAGGAGGCTACATTTTCTGTCACATAAATTACTAGGTTTTAATTAGCAATAACTAAAAAAAATGCAATTTTATTATTTTTTTATCTCTTTTTTCCTGGAATAGAGCTATAATTTAATTTAACAATTTAAATTTAGCTATAACTTAACCATGATGACTAAGAATACTTAAAGGGTTTGCAATTCCTTAATGAAGACTATCATAACAATTCTTGCCATTTTTAACCAAACCTCATGTCGGTCAGCTAGACAAAATTCACAACAACAACAACAACGTTCAATGCATCACACAAAAACAAGACTGACAAATTTAAGTTGTAAAGATAATGCAAAACTGGCCCAATAGAGCAGGTGACGGTTTTGACCCGAAACTCCCTCATGTGCTTTAGACCAGCGGGCCCTTGCTGTTGAACTCGGCAGGTGCTAGTACTAAAAGTAGGTCAGTACCCCAAGACATTAGCAACCACAAGTGTCTTCAAACAGCGAGGTGTATCTTCTGTGCACATCAATAATTTCATGAACAGTTATGTCTGAGATTCTTCAGCATATGTTATGAATTTGGAAGAATCCACCTTTTCCCTGCAAATCGAGGCACTTTCAGAAGTGGCAAATGCCTCAGTGGCAAAACTTAGACAAAATAACAGCCACTGATAATATTTCTTATCAGACACATAGCACATTTTGCCTGTGGTTCAGGTGTTAGCTAGACACATTAGGTTAGTGGGATCCACAGGCTTTTTACTGTAGAAACAGATGAGGTGCTCAGTCCAACAACCTGAATTGCATTTGCGTGCCTGGCATGAAGGCAATCTTACATCAGCTGCAAACACACAATTCATGTAACACAGTCGGGCGGTTGTAAGTTTGATTTATGACCTTAATATCCACAAATGTCCATAGTAAACCGTCTTTATAGGCATTGATCAGTACATTAAAGCAGTTCTATCTGCACTGGTGCTCTGTATAAAACATGTAACGTTACTCATTTGCCTGAGCTACATCTTCTTCCAACAATACTTCAGATTTTCACATCTACTCCAGATTGTTGTGCTTCACACTCTTGCACATCACTCTGTTCAATGAATTATTTACAGTGACGAGACCAGAAACTCTGGAGGTGGCAGTTTATTCACTGTAAAACACTTATGATGCCCAAAAAAATGTTGTCAAGACAAGCAGCTCACTTAGTTTTCGAGACACAATCAATCAAACCTCCAATGCACAAAAATGCTGTCTAGACAGGCAGCTTTTTTGAATCAACCAATCACCTATGATGCCCAGAATGTTGCCTAGGTAGGCAGCTAATCCATTCATTCTGTCTACTAGACAACTAAGTTTAAAATACCATGCATGCGTCACATATTTAGATATTTAATTAATACAACTGTCAAATGAAGTTGTAAACATCTATTTAAAAGCACTCCTCGTAACTTGACGGAGTACATACAGCAAAGCTGTTACATGAAAAGGGAAGTGTCATTTGTGGCAGCTCATTTAAAATAGGATTATACCCTTGTCACTAGTAACAGTTTATTTTCAGCATGTGCATTTCCATCTGTAAAAGATAAGAATAAATAAAAATAAAAACCTTTTTAGAACGCTGCTTTTCTCAATCAAACAAACAGTAACAGAAATTAACCTAAGCTGAAAAACTTCCTTTTGGTAAATGTAGAGAAATGCTTACCAAGCGACCAAAGCAGGATATATCGGGCAACACTGTATCCGTTTTGAGAGTTTTTGGAAGGCATAGTAGAAGAGGCGCGGGTAGCGCACGCTGCCAGCTCGCTGTAAATGTGCTGTAGCCGAGGGTTTGCACTGATCCTGTATCCAACACTCACTGCTGTGCGAGCCGATCATTACCCAGCTTTGTTTAGCGAGGACATTTCCTGTTGAACGCGCGTCTCAGTGTGTCCCTCTAGTGGCCACACCGCTAACTACTACAAAAGGGGCAGTGCTTGGCACCAACATAACAAGCGTGATTAAAATGTTTTTTAAAGGGATAGTTCACAAAATATGACAATTCTGTCAGACATAACGGCAGAACAGCTTCATTCACTTTAATTTAAATATGGCAAAAGATGCCAGGACGCGTAAACTATCAGCTTCAGTCATGAAATAAACTCTTTAAAATGTTACCTGAATCCCACTTTCGATCACAAACCCAAAAAATTACATAAAAAACGCAATTTTACCGAAATACTGAATGGTATATTGTTATATAATCTTTATATTAATTAAGTTTTAATACGACAAACTGTCGCGACTATCACCCTAATTAGCCTACATTTATGAAGTCTTTTCTTCGCCTGAAATATGCGAACTGACACTGAAATATTGAACTGGTCTATTTAAAAACAATGTTATAATGTAGAATTAAAAAAAGTAAACATTTGACCCTCCGAACCACATTAAAATCCTCGTCAAAAGTAACGATTCTGTTGTTAGATTTGTGAGAACGGACACTGAAATATTAAACTAATATATTTGAAAACAAATGTGATGTCGAATTTTAAAAAGTAAACATTTGCACGACCAAACCACTATCACTAATAAATCCGTCTAGATAATGAAAAAATGACTAGAAATCAGATTTGTTCCACGTAAGATATTGAACTGGTCGATTTGAAAATATGTAGAATTTTTAAAAAAAGTAAACATTTGTCTCGCCGAACAAATAATAAATCTCTCGACGCCATTAAAATAACGACTGGAGATCATATATTTGTGCTTTTAATCCTTATAGCGTAATCTCGTACGGTTACCACAGCAACCCATCCGACGCTCCGAGCTCTGAGTAAACTGCGCCGAAAGCTCTGGAAGTGTCATCGATCACACTGCGCGGGCTGGACCGAGCAGGGCCGCCTCTGCTGCGGTTGGAAGTTTCAGGAAAATTCGCGATATAAATGGGTCGCGAGTAGCCTACTAAAATTACCGACAGTGACCGGACAGACCTGAACGCTAAAATGACTAGAAATCAGATTTGTTCCACGTAAGATATTGAACTGGTCGATTTGAAAATATGTAGAATTTTTTAAAAAAAGTAAACATTTGTCTCGCCGAACAAATAATAAATCTCTCGACGCCATTAAAATAACGACTGGAGATCATATATTTGTGCTTTTAATCCTTATAGCGTAATCTCGTACGGTTACCACAGCAACCCATCCGACGCTCCGAGCTCTGAGTAAACTGCGCCGAAAGCTCTGGAAGTGTCATCGATCACACTGCGCGGGCTGGACCGAGCAGGGCCGCCTCTGCTGCGGTTGGAAGTTTCAGGAAAATTCGCGATATAAATGGGTCGCGAGTAGCCTACTAAAATTACCGACAGTGACCGGACAGACACGGACAGGCGGGTTTGTTGGTTTGTTTTTCTGACCTGAACGCACCGCTCGGCGTCCGGAGGAGAGTCCAGGGTGGCTGTCGTGGGCTTTGATGTGGGATTGCTGTATTGCTGTATTGCTGTGGTCAAAGGCGGAGGAATCGAGACCGTGTCCAATGAATTTACAGGCAGATGCACGCCGTAAGTGGATGCTGTGTTTGCTAATTGTATAATGAGATAAAACCTTCATTGCATGTATCTTCAGTGTATCAGATGAATATTGATACTCTACGTGTGAATATCCACCTAAACTGAAAGTCAAGTATAAGTATACACTTGTCAATGTAATTCCAAAACATCTGAAACATGTTCATGTGAGCTCAAATCTGTCATTTGAATCCCTCAAAAGCTTAATATGCCTGAACACTTTCTTTTAGAGCTTTTATCATTTAATGCAAAGAACAGGACCATTGGTAATGCTGCAAAAAGACAGGTAGGCTTTCCTGTTCTCATCTGTGATGATTATGAATGAAGCAAAAGTGTGCTTAGTTCGGTGTTATATTACCATTCATATGTTTTTACCTGTTCTGGATGATAACCAATACTGCAAGCACAGTCTCTCATTTTAAGAGACTACATGGCAGATTGTTTTAGGATCATTCCGTGCAAGCAGAGAAGGCTAGTTTACCATATGACCTGGTACCACTAAATGATGGGAAGGTTGGAGTCAAGGTAAACACTGTGTTCATTAGTCCCATTTATGTATCATTTAAGGTGTAGATGGGTTTGTTTCTTCATCACAAAGAAATCTCCTCTGCAGTGAATGGGTGCTGTCAGATTGACAGTCCAAACAGCTGATAAAATCGTCACAATAATCCTCTAGTAATTGAAACCACTTCAGTCCATCAATAAATATCTTGTAAAGTGAAAAGATGTCAAATATGAGTAAGTAAAATATGAGTCCTCTATCCATAATGATGCTTTCTCCAGGGGGGAAAAAATCAGTTTGAATCATGAGAGAAATATGCACAGATCAAGAAAACAGTTTAAACCAGTTCGAAATGGTGGATTTTGATGTGAGAGGACAACAAGGGGATGGGATTTTTCACTGGAGGAGGCATTGTTGTGAATTATGGACTCATATTTCGACCAGAAGCTAAGGTTTAAAGTTAAAATGCCTTGATTGATTTGTTTCTTCCAAACGCGCAGATTTTCACTTCACAAGGCATTAATTGATCGTTTTCAGTCACGTGACCGGCTCGAAGACCTGGCGGGCAAAACATCCATAGAACTGCAGCACAAGCCTGTCGATTTTCTATCTGTTCCAATCCAAAAAATATTTAGATCAAAAGAATAAAACAAAGATATGTGAACAAAATGCAAATACTGGCCATTAGCAGTCCATATAAAATAAATCACCCACCGCAATATTTCAATCACTAAAAACAGCGGGACATTCTAAAACGTTTAATGTGAAAACACTTAAAGGTGCCTTTAAAATGGGGATATTAAAAGATCAAATTCAGTACACACCTTATTACTGATGCGTGCTTTATACAGGCAAGCAAATAAGCCCAGAATATGAACATAATGCGCTAAATGGTTAAGCGTCTTATTTATAATTGTTTTCTATGGGAAAACATTTAATATTAAACTTTGCGCATTGTGTTTATATTCTGGGTTCATCTGCTTGCCTGTACAAAGTATGCATCCTGAATAAGGTGTACAGTATACTGAATTTGGCTTTTAAATATCACTGTCTGTCTTACTACATTACTACTTAATGCAAACCTCGTAAAAATAACTGGCGGTCAGTGGAGGAAAGCCTTGTTTCGCCCTCCACGTGGGCGTTCCTGTAAGGGTGTGGCATCACATGAAAACTATCAATCGATGGACTGGAGTCGTGTGGATTACTGTAATGTTTTTATCAGCTGTTTGGACTCTCATTCTGACGACACATATTTCCTGCAGAGGATCCACTGGAGGGAAATTATGTACATTTCTCCATATCTGTTCTGATGAAGAAATAAACTCATCTACACGTTGAGGGTGAATACATTTTCAGCACATTCGGCAAATTTTCATTTTTGAGTGAACTATCCTTATAAGTATTTGGGACATACTGTATATGTGCCATGTGGTTATTTTTGGAAGACAGAATAAAATTTTGACTTTCAATGTCTTGACGGACTACAAACACCACGGGAGACAGCAAGTGACATAAAAATCCAGGGCAAGGCACAGAGAGCATGAAACTAAAACAAGAAAGAGTTGATTTGTAAGGAGAACAATCACATTTATTTTCTAAAACCAAAATAAACTGAACACCTCAAAATTACAAAACAAAACAAACAAACAAAAAACAATATCTTTTAAAAAGGTCTCTAGTATAATGGATAAATAAAATAATGTTAAGTCAAATTAAAACTCCAAAGCCTTCTTGCAGTGGATGTGCTGGTTTGGGCCTCATTGCCGGCTGCAGTCATGTCCTCATCTCATATATAAAACACCTCTGATTCACAAATACTTGCTAAGGAACTCACATTCACATAAAGTAGCCTTGTTGAAATGTTTGGGTGAGTAAGGGCAAAACGCACAAGATGCAGTACTTTCAGTGACCTGTAAAAGGCAGTATCACGTCTTTTGTAGCAGAAATAAACTGCTGCAGAAAAAGCTAGGTCCATGCAAAATGTAATGTGTAACTGCAACACCCATTTCAAATGTAGTGGAGTAAAGAGTACAGATACTCATTCAAAAATGTAGTGAAGTAGAGAGTAAAAGTTGCTAATATCTTTGATACTCAGTACAACTACAAAGTACCCGAAAAGATACTCAAGTACAGTAACTAATTACATTTACTCCAATACTTCACACCTCTGTTTAATGGATACCAGAGGCATGTACCAGAAATAGAGACTTTCAGCTCATTAGAAATTCCCCTAAAATTATTTATATTGATGATAGTGTATTATAGTAATTTTTAGTCTTGTCATGATGATATTTTAGACAAAAGGCCTTGCTTTATCATCATACAGCAGTACATTTTAACCAGGCCTGTTTTAATTTGCACGTAAACCACAAATGTGCAAGACACCAATCCGATGGTTTGTTTGTGTCATTTCTTTGGCCATACAAATGATTTTGTCATGCATAGATCCCCTCATTCTTCACTGATTCAGAAAGGAAGTCTGTGCTGGATGCTGCCAAGATTGCCGGCTTGAACTGCCTGAAGCTAATGAATGACAGCACTGCAGGTATCTTTTTAATTAATAAAACTCACAACAACAGTGACTTTGCCACATCCCAAGCAATCTTGACAGTGTCATTTAGCATTCCATATACAAGGAAGGTCTTCCAGGCTGTGATGAGAATCCAAAGATTGTGGCATTTGTGGACATGGGCCACTCAGCTCTCCAGGTCTCTGTTTGTGCTTTCAACAAAGGTAAACTTAAGGTGAGTCTCAGTCAAAGTCAGACGCTTGTGTAGATCTCCAACTTTGCATTTTCACGCACATCAGTGAATGCTCTGTGCTGAATTTAAGTCCAAGTATAAGATGGATGTAAAGTCCAAGGCTCGAGCTATGTTACGACTGACACAAGAGTGTGA